ACACACACACACACACACACACACACACACACACACACAGAGTCTCATACACACATGATCTCTCACCAGTCTCTCTTACACATGCAATCTCTTATACATCATCTCTCAGTCTGTTATGTACATACAGCCTCTCTCACCACACACAATCTCTAACACACACATACAGTCTGTTATCGCGCGCAGAGTCTCACACACTCTCACAAGCGTGCGCGGGAAAACACACCCTCCTCGTCTCTATCACACGCTCTGTCGGCTCCGCCTCCGCCGTGGCCCCTCCCCCGGGTGGGCTCCACCCGGACGGCGGGGGATCAGACGGGCGGCGACAGGCGGGGCGGGGCAGGGTTGCTACTCCCGCCGCCGGGGCCCACGGGCCGCTCTGCACACTCCTGTCAGCAGCGCGCGCGGCCCATCCGGGACGGGCCTCCGGGAGTGGCGCCGCCTTGCGCTTCGCCGCCTGGCTCCTCCGGCGGCCCTGCTCGGTGGCAGGATGTGCTCGGCTGGGGAGGTGCTTGGAGACTGCGGCGGCGGGGGGCCAGGCAGCGAGGATGTGGAGGCGCTGGCCGAGCAGGCGGCGGCGGGGACCGAGTGGGAGCTCCGGGCGAGCCCGCGGCGGCGTGGACAGCAGACCCAAGAGGAGCGCGAGCAGGTGAGTGCAGGGCGGCGCGGCCGGGCGGGTGCCCGAGTCCCACCGGCGCCGGAGGGAGTGGCCCGGCGTGCGGGCGTGCGGGCGGGCGGCGCCTGGGTCGGCGCGGCGTCGGGGCAGCAGCCGGGAAGAGCCGTTAGACGGCGGCGCTCCCACCCGCACGGGGTCGTGCGCCTGGCGGGGTCGACACGGCCCTTCCCTGCGGTCGGGTTCTGCGGAAGCGCCCTTCTCAGTGGTCTCTTATCTCAAAGCTTTCCACGTCAACACTTCTTTATCAAGTTCAAGTCCGTCGCCCTGCGCTGCGATTTTAGGGGACAACGGCGCCCCTCCCGCGCTCCATCCTGGCGCTTCTGAGCACAAGCCTGGAGCCTGTGAGGGGTGGGTGGATGTCTCAACATCCGCCAGGGTCCGAGGCATGTGTAGGAGCGAATATGACAACAGACGTCTTGACCCGGACTCGCCGAGAGCCAAGTTCTTCACATGAACACAAATGAGATCTAAACTTCATTTTAAAAGTGAAAACAAACAAACAAACCAAAACCAAGACGATTGCTTGGTACCAAAGGGAAAGAAATATATGAGGGCAGCCGTAATAAAGGAAAAGAGAAGCTGGGTAATTTTTGAAACTCTGAATTTGCTCTCACTAAATGAAGTGTGACAGTAGGTATTATAGCCCATCAAATATCTTCAAGATTAGGCAAGACATTTAATAAAAGTAATTGAATTATATGTGGGATGAATTTTCGCCACTAAATGGGATTCGACCTTCAAAACTACCAGAGATAAGCCAACCTTCAGAATCACATTAAGGAGCAGGAATGATTATTTGCCCTTACTGCAGCCCTGGACTGTTGGGACAATCAATTGACACCTGTCTCCTCTCATTATCGTTCTCCATCTGTCCTTTTTGTCACATTTCACAAACTCCAATATCATTAAATGCATTAAGAGATTAAGTATAACTTTCAGTATGTCAATATTTTATTTAGGAAACAACAGAGTGTGGCGCACACAAGATATGCCTTAGCATTAGCTTTGCTCACTATGTGGGAGTGTAATTTTTCATCTTTGTGACAATATAAGAGATGGCGACTGAAGCAAATCATTGGTGGTTAGGAGATCTTCCTGATTCTCTTCCTGGTGGTTTTCCCCATTAATTGCACCATAAGTCGGTAGCTAAAGGGCTTAGTTTCCTCTTAGTTTAGTTGTTCAACTGGAAAAGTGAAGAAAAAGGCAACATGTTCGAACTCACTTGGTGAAGGGCGGGGTGCGCTGGGTGCATTTGAGCTGATGTTCTCAAAGTAAATTTTCAAGTGATTGTTAAGGGAGCATGTAAAATACTTCGTTTAAGCTTTTGTGGATTTCATATCATCAGTAGCTCTGGTCTTACCAAAATTGCTTATGGTACAAACAAAAAAAAGATGAAACAAAAAAAGAATGAAACATAGTCTAGAAAACAGATATCACTTGGCATACCTGCTTCTTTCATTGTATGTCATAGAAATCTATTTTTCTGTAGTCCTTTGAAAATGTTATTTTTTTTTGTCACAGGATTTATGTATGCACCCTAAGCCTACATATATGACAAATGAAAAATAACACCCCGAGATGTATATTTCCTCTTATAGAAGCACCAAAGAACTTCTTATCAAGAAGCCAAAAACAAACAAAAACTTGGTACATCTCAGCCCATTCTTGTAAGAAGCAAGCTTTTGTGATAAATCATTTCTCGGTAATATTATTACAAAGCCTTGTTTTCTAGCTTTATTTTAAGTCCAGCAAATGAAATTTAAAATTTTTATGCACTGCCTTGCAATGATGACCGAGATAACTACAGACATAAAGATATTTTGAGGGGTAGTAAATGAAATGAACAACTATAAATCATATCCTAAGGATTTGTTTTATTTAGTTTTTCTTTAGGGAGATTGTGTGTGTGTTTTGTCATTTTAGGACACACAGATTCTAAATTACAAATGGAATATTTTTGAAAACTTGGCTTGTAAACTCGTTATTTAGAACTTAAAGTGAACTTTTCCAGAGAAACAATGATATAAACAGAAACAGAACCACAACCAATTAGCTGGAAATGATGCAGAGGCCATTTTCCTGCTTTCCTTTCTGCTTAGCACACTCACATGATGTTCCCGAGTCTTTGTAGCCTCATGGACATTGAGAGAGAATTGGTGTCAGCAGCAGCAGCTCCTTTATATCTGGATCAGGGCGATGGAGGTGTGCTCTTGACCACAATAGCTCCAGAAGGGACCTAACTTTTGCTCCTCTAGCCCTTTCAGTGATTTTTGTTAGCCCCTAATTTTCTGTGTTAAATCCCTTTCTATTTCCTTCACAAAGTTTTGTTCTTACCTGATAATTTGCAGAAGAGGTTTCTTCCCCAGGGTAAATGCTCCTTTATATACAGCCTTTTCTCTGCTGATTTTTCTTCCCACTTTTGTCCCACTTCTCTCAACTGGGAAGGCTCTTGCATCAGATTTGACTATACAAAGCTTACCTTTGTTTTTGTTATTATGATACTAGATCAAAATGTATCTGTATTTTGGTGTTTACGTACTACTGAAATATTGGTAATAATTTAGGTGTTTTAATAACAGATGTTGTCAGCATCATTTTTTACAATTTGTCCTTGGATGGTGCTACATCTGAGAGAAAACTAAGGTTCCTCTGCCCTTTTGGCCTCAGTCTTTCCAGGTGGGATGACTGACAAAGGAGGCCTGGTTAAAATCAAGTACCCTAGGAGGGGAGGACTTTAAAGAATGGACCAAGTCCTCTAGATGAAGGAACTGTATCAAGTTTGAAGTAGGAGTCAGGCCTCTCAGAGAGATAAGCAAGGGAGAGAGGCAAAATGCCCAAGCAACTGAAGGAACAGGGCACGCTTTCTTACATGTATGTTGATAATTGTGTACATGAGAGATGAGCTGAGTATGTTGATGAAGGTGAATGCCGTGTAGCTGTATGTAAGAGTCTCTGCCCTCCTGTATGGCTGGAAGGCTAAACATCTCCAGTCCTTTTATTATGTGAGTGGCATCCACTTAGAAGCAGCAGTTCACAGCCTGAGTAACCTAAGACAACCCTGCTTACGTAGAGAGGTCTCATTATCCTTATATTGACTTTAGAATCATTATCTTCAGCTTTAAGTTCTTTCTTTATGATTACAAAATATGTACTTTAGAACATGTAGAAATACAGAAAGACCTAAAGAAGAAAACACTTGAAATTCCATTCTGAGTAATATTTTGTTACAAAATATCAAATATTTGGTATTACTACATTCATGTATATCTCTGTGTATACATACAGATATATTTTTAACATGTTTTAATGTCATATTTGAATTTGGTATCTTGTTTTATCTACTTAGCGTGTTGTATCACTTTCCTGTGTTATCAAAAATTCTTTTTAAAAATATTTTTAGGGCTGCCTAATAGTTCATTTCTACAATATTGCACATTTAAGTTGTTTCAAACTTTCTTTTATAAATAATGCTATAATAAAAATCTTTGCTTGTAAATCCTTACAGTTCTACCTTGGAATAGATTCCTAGATGTGAAAGAACTAGGTCAATGTGTCAGTCTTCGAAGCCTCTTGAAACATCCTAAAGAATTGCATTCAAGAAAGGTTGCACCAATGTACCCTTCTAGCATTGGTATGTTAGAGTGCTGATTGGAAACCATTTATATAAAACATTTGTAATTCTCTTTAATAATATTCTTTGACCATTTTTTCTTTTGGCATTATTATAAGAATTTATCATTTATTTCACATAGATTATAAATGTTTTCCCTGTTTGCTGTTTATTTTATAATTTTATTTATGATGGTTTTGATTTAGAAATTCTTTAAATTTTTATTAGCCAAAGGAACTTTTTTGGTAATTTCATATACACACACCACACACACTCACATAGACACATGCACACCTTTCCCACATATATACAAATATCTACATATATTTGTTTAGGACATTCTTTTTAATTCTACTGTTAGTTAAATATCCACCAATATTTTCCTATGTGTGTATGTGTATCTTACCCTATGTATTTAATCTTTTTAGAATGACTTTATGTGTAATGTGAGGTGTGGAGTGAATCTTTTATTTAATTTTTTTTTCTAATTGTGGAATAATCTGCTTTCTCCTTGGCTTTACAATCCTTTATAATAGTTATAAACACTAAAGTCTGTGCTAAACTTTTATATTTTTGTTGGTATTATGAAAGGAATTTCTTCCTCCCCCCGCCTTCCCCCATACACATTATGTTTTTGCTGCTGGTTTCTAGTTATTGGTCCTTATGTATTTCGTTTTTAACTAGCTACCTTACTGAATTCTTTTATTAATTTTAATACTGATAAATACTAGTATCTCTTAGACTTGACTTTTTACATTTTCTAGGTGCCAAAAAAA